TGCATTTGGTAAGTTGAGAGTTGCTTCTAAGAGTTCCTAAGCTACTTCACAGACATACAGGCTTTGCCTTTCCAAGCAGACTCTCCAAGTCACTTCATTTTTCCATGGCATCTAAGTATGACACTCTGAACACATCTGATGACTCTCTTAGATCTAGGAAATAATTCTCTAATTTCTCAGCCTTCTCTTGCAATTTAGCTGATGATGATTTGAAAGATCTCCTGTCTTCATTTTGGCCCTCTTCCCACTGGCATCAAACATCCTAGTTTACAAACTAGACCTTCAGGGTCTATTAAGTATTATTATAATTAAACAACACAACTTTTTAAATAGCTGACATGTGCAAGGCATTAAAGAATTATACTAGGACATAGTATTATCCAATTCTATAGCCTATGGCTCAATGTACTATAGGGATATAATATTCTTGAATATCTGAAAATCATCTCTAAAATTTGGACATAATGCACATGTCTGCAAAGAGTTTATTCTGGGATTCATTTTTGCCTGTAATCTCTATACCTCAGAAAGCTGATCTATGTATCATGGCAACCTTTCTTTTAGATTATTTCAATTTACTATTATTATTAACTACTATAAAAGTCAACAGAGCTGTAAAAAAAGCAAATGAATAGAACCATTGTCACAGAAACCTATCGAAATGGGTATAGAATCCTATTTCCTAGATGATTCTTATGGTGGTAATCTACTATCTTCTAAAGAAAATTGCTAACACTTCTCAAGTGAGTACACAGTACTTTGCTACATCTTATCTTGTTGCTTAAATTCATTTCCCTAAAACATGAAGCAAATTTTGCTTAGCTTAACTGCGTCTACTGAGGAAGAGCAAGCAAAGAGGAAATGAGAAACACTTACTGCTCTGGCAGCTTCCCCAAAGTCAATCTTTAGCCGGCCCATGGCTCTTATGATTGCAATGATGGACTGTATAGTATTGCTGTAGACAACTACTTTATATTGTTTACATTCTTCCTCTGAATAGCCATCCTCATGAATGATTCTTTAAAAAGAAGAAAACCACAAGTTAATACCATGGACCTAAAATGAAGAGATACTATGGAATTTTTACACATTAAGAGGAAATCTATTCAAACAAAAAACCATTTTCCAACTTACTTCATTTGTTTCACAATGGTGCTTTTACCAGATTCTCCAGCACCTGAAAAAAAAGAAAACCAGACCTTCAATTTCTCTGTAATCCAACACAAAAGTATGAAATCAACATGAGTGATAACACTAGTATTAATGGAAACCCCAGGTCCTAGGGAAAATTTTGGTGAGGTTTTCGTGTCTATCAGGAAAATTACAGAGCTTCTCCATCAGAGCATTTTGTTTTCTTTACAAAACTCAGCAACCAAGTAGAATATATTGAAAGTACCCAAGGGCCTGCTTGATATCATTTGTGGAAAATAAGCATACCCAAAGAGAGATGGCAATGTAAACATTTGTAAGAATTCATCCTCTACATAAAACATCATGATACAGACACTGAACGTAGGTAAAAACAAAATGATTATTTTTTGCTTTATTCATTTTTATTAATTCCTCTGTGACTACCT